TAACACCAATTAGGCCGAACATTATCATGGAGAAGTAGGGCCCCCCAAAGTTTGATATTAAAAAGTCCGCGAACCTTCAAATACGAAAAATTCGTGTTATTATATTAGTATTAAATGCTCTATATCAAATATATACCAACTCCATAGCTTTACGATGAATGTCCACGGCATAAGCTATCTCTTTGTAAACCTTGTTTTTACTTTTTAGGATATCTTTTTGTAAAATATTCATTGCCTGTTCGATACGATAACTGTAAATAATTTTATTCCTGTAATTAATTTTATTTTGTTTTGAGATAACAAACAAATATTATTTACGATTATATTCTAGCATTCATTTGCTCACCTGGCAATACTAAACATTCCGCAGATATGTTGAATATATGCAATGAGCATCGCCCCTGTTGCTATCATTAGGGCATTCCCTACGTAAGAAGCTGCTAGTGTATGCAGCGTAGTTAAGTAGAAATATTTTTTTTGATCAGTAAAGTACTCCCTCGCAACATACACTGAAGGATTTAGTCGAGACTCGTTCTTAGGCAGAACAATGTTTTGAATGTATGGCAAAATTTGTACAACAGCTAAGTTACATTTGTTCAATATGCCAAGCACTGAGAAAAGTTTTGTAAAATTAATCACACACATATATAAATCAAACCGCCTTTTAATTTTTTTATTTTTCTCTGTTGAGGTTAGCGAAAATCTTGTTTTGTTTTGAAAAAAAATGTATTTGTGATTAATCCAATTTTGGAACAGAGAACTCGACTACCATTATCTTACGTATAAATACAGTTGTGTAACATTTTGCCTTGCTCCCGTATTTTTCTATGATAGCGATTTCCTTCTCATCTCTTAGCTCGTTATATACATCTTGAAGCTGTTCCAGCATACGCCTTATCTGCCAATAATATTATATGCCATTTTTTAAATAAAATTTTAAAACAATTGCGAACTTTTGTATTCTTGATTAAGACGGAATTATTTGTACACTGAGAAAAAAATTGGTTGTACAGACTTTTGTAGATCCAATGGTATTCAACATTTATTAAGTTGAATAAGTAACATTTACTTCGCCGGTCAATAATTAACACAATTGAGAATTTAATTGATTATACTGGCAATGATTATAATCGTGGTAACGATTATAATCGTCGTGACAAATCATCACCGAGTTTCGACCAAGGATTCTGGCCATTCTAAAGTTGAATATACACTTTTGACTGAAAATTGGTGTTTCCATCTTATTATTGTTTGTCATCTTAATACATGTTAATGCTATAAATATTACCACATGCCGCAGCGGTCGAATTGGTACGACACCCGTCACGGAATGAGGAAGGTTCCAGGTTCGAACCCTGGCTGAGGTAATATTTTTCGCAATAAATTTAATTATTTAATTAAGATACTTACATAAATATTATAAGCATCTAAAATTACATCAACTTTAGAATGATCAGAATCCTTGGTCGAAACTCGGTAACGATTTGTCACGACGATTATAATCGTGGTAACGATTGCCAGTATAGTCAATTAAATTCTCAATTGTGTTAATTATTAAGTTGCACTAAAAAATGTATAATTCATTCAACCATCAACATTTTTTAATAAAGAATTCAGCTAATATTTAATTAAACCAACTGATGTTAGTTAAACGTATTGGAAAATATTTCAGTTGCATGAAACATATTTTGCGTTTTTCAACAAATTATTTTTCTCAGTATGTTACTTTTTCTTTAAATACATCTTACATTATAACCAGTGATCGGCAAAAATTCCGTTTTTAGAAATGATATCGGCGATTATTTTTAATTAATCAAAAATAAAAAATTTGAATGTTTTTAATTTTAATTAACAAAAAATTGGTAATTACTAAAATACTAAGCTCTAAATGTAAAATAATTATCATTTGATTAGAATAATCATATTACTTTGTACGAGAAATTAATAAATAATCATAAATATATTGCTCATGATTTAAAAAATTGGCAATTATATTAAAATAGACTGTCGGTTTTTAAAAAAATTACTTGTTCAGAAAAAAATATTGCTCTTTTTTTGAAAAATTAATTGTTTTTAAAAAGTATATTATTTCTTTCTTAAACAATTAGTAATTGTTAAAAAATATATTACTAATTTTTGAGGAAATTAGCATTTATTGTTTTGAAAAGTATCCGTTTTTAGAAATATATCAGGAGAAAGGAAACGATGAAGTGTTAACTACTATACAATTTTTTCGTACTGAAAATTCACATTCAAATCTGCATTTCAATTTTTTATTTGCCGGAATTTTTCGTGCACAATTATTTTTTTAGTTGTCTAAATAATAATGGTATTTTTAGAACAATTCTCCGCTTTATTATTAACGTGTGAAATAAGTGTAATCAAAAACTCTATAATATCTCCTTCGTCAGTCATCTCATGACTGTGTTCATGCTTGTCTTTGCCAAAAGGATTTGTTTCAGAGTCAAGGATAATGAACAGAAATTATTTTTATTTAATTGTTAATTTTTTGAAAAATTAGAAAATATTTAATTACTAATTTTTTTTAAATTAAAAATTATTTTTTTTTCTATTATATTATTTTTTAGAAAATTAGAAATTAAATTATTTATTTTTTGAAAAATTGGTTATAATTCTTGATTTATTATTAAATTTTCTAAAAATTTGAAAATAATATTACATTATTAACAATTTGTGTAGAAATAACCTTTTTTGAAATTATTTACATATTGCTTGGTAAATAAAAATAAATAAAAAAAATTTTTTTTTTTAGAACTTATTATTGTATTTTTGCTTATTAATGATTGCTTTGATATTTAAGAAATAAATAATGAAATTTTTTTGCCGATCACTGATTATAACTATAATAAAAGTAGAGGATTTTAAATCATGAAGAACTAAAAGAAAATTAAGAATAGCGGGATTAATTCAGTCCTAATAGGGGAAGAATACGAAAATCCGACAGTTTTACATTCGAAGATTACATCTATCACTAATGCATATATGATTGATAACGCTCTTACGATATCGGCGTTAAACCAAAACGAACTGTATTCGATCACATTGCACATAAAGAAGCATGTAATAGAGAAAACCTTGATAATGTGTTCTGTAGTACATTTTGACGTCGAGAATGTTGTAAACTGCAAGAAATAATTTTTAATAATTGAATAACCGGATTAAAAAACCAACAGTAGTCTGTCTGATTAGCAAACTGTTATATATTTCTCTATTCTCCGTTGTTCTCCGTGTAAGGTAAAGGTACCATACCTTTATTATTTATAAGTATAACGCGAATTAAAATCAAAGATAAAAGTATTTTTTTTTGTAGTTTGAAACTTCAGTTATAATATCCAAACGTTTATTTCCATAAATTTATATTTTTTTTAAGGTATCCAGACACAGGTACGTGTCCAGGTATTGGTACATTTACCTGCTCTTAAGTGTCCGGGTATTGGTACCTTTACCCTACTATGTATAATAAATTAGTAAAAAAAGAAAATAATTAATATTTGAGTATAATTGTATCGCAATAATTTTATTTTATTATATTTAATATAATTAATATATTAATATAATTATATTAATATATTATATTTAATAAAATTAATTATATTAATATATATTTATATTTAAATTGAAATATGATAGATGTAACTCTTTGTTATATAGTATTTGACAGCTTAATTTATAATACCAAAATTAAAATCTTAGCGTACTTGGAATATAATAAAACTTATCAGA